CACGATGCTTCATGTCTTACATAATACTGTTGCTAAAAGTTTGAAGTGGTAATTCCAGACCAGAGTTTTGTTTATTTACTATAAAGAATACATGTATGTCTCTAAAGGTACCTATGGGCCCAGTCAAGCAGAAGTATACAACAAGGCCAAAAATTCAAGTTAATGCATCTGATATTAAAATGTATTCAACAGATAGCATATGTACTCAAGTTTATGAAACTGTTTACCTTTTTCTGTACCATTTTTGGTTCTAAAGTTACATATGTTTTAAACAGACCATGTATGAAACATGGAACAAGAATTATTTCCCAAATTTCAAAGACCTGCAAATCATGTAAATAAAATTATGTATTTCATCATATCTTGTGTTATTCGATCTTTGAACTGTTGATGAAGGAACATGATTTTTCAAAAAAAAGTATTTAAAATTATAAAAAATTGCTTGGAAGGACTGACATATTTTATAGAAATAGTTTCCTTTCATTTTGAAGTAATATTAAAGTTTTCAGAAGAAAAAAGATGACAAATTATGAAAAATCATGCACCTTACTTGCTTGCACAATTTTCCCTCTGTTACTTTTCCCTCTGTTACCATGACCTTTCTTAATAAAAAATCTCATTACTCAAACAGTAAGAGGTTTTTCAACCTAATCTTGTACCATATGGTAGAAAACTATATGAAGCAAATATTCAAACCAGTTTGTTAAGGATATGTAAGTGAGAACCGGTGGTTATCGCTGTTTGTATTTATTGCTCAAAAAGTGCTGCATATTTCATTTCCTCTGTTACCGACATGAGTTTTTAAATTTTTTGTTAACAATTTGAAAGAATATCACAGGTTTAACTTTACCCTATTGGAGTGCTAACTCTTTCCTACATTCTGATACCTTAATTATTTCAATAGTCCCTCTAGTTTCTGAATAAGAGCTATTTGAATGTAAAAAATCTGCCCCTGTTTCCCTCCGTTACCGCTTGACCGGACCTCTATCTACATTTATTCATTGTGAAAATATCTTGGAAAACCATGCATTCTGTTCCTGGATAATATTAATGTCATACACTGTGGAACATTCTAGGCAATAACGTCTCCATGGAAACGAGCTGGTGGCACATTCTCTACTAGTTAGAGTGTGAGAAAGTGAGGAATCTTATGAGCACAAGTGGAACATGAATTCATATTTGAAGAATGAGTTAATCCATAATTAAACATAAAGGATTTAACCCACAACCTCTAGATGAGACACAGAGACATTTACCACCATTATACAGTATAATACAGAGCATACATTATAGAGTTTAATGCAATTGCGTAGCCAGCATACAAACCAGGACAGATTATTCCCTGTGGCACTGCCTAAAGGGACCAACAGCAGAAGATGTCCCTGTGGTAAAGAAATATGCTCACCCATACATTTATTATACTGTACATAAAGTATTTATATTTCATTAAACCACTAAAGCTGATGTGATTTCACCTCCACCATCAGCGTCAGATCCTTATGTGCTTTTGAAGTATAATGTACTTCTATTGTCAATAAACCCAAAGCTGTTTTTAAATTGAGGTTATAATGAGTTTATAAATTCTGTAGAGACAAAAACACAATACTTAAAAGGTGCTCTGTGTAACTTTTATGGGTCAGGGTACACCGCCTGCTTGTCTAAATAGATTATGTTGATTTGCCTAGACTGTTCAATGATATGGCATTAACTCTCTTGCATTTATTGACCTTTATTTAACCTTTACACCTAGCCTGATTCACCAGTTTGTTTCACGTCGTGGAAACCATTTGACCTTGCGATTTGTTTGCTTGATGGTAGGTGGGTACTTTTTTATTTAACCAATTGTGCTATTTGGTTGTGATGTATGTAATGCACAAAAGGAAGAAGGGCAATAACATCTTTCCCCTTGATAAAATTCACCAAACATTCTCTTTTTTCTGGTTTTAAATCCTCGATCTTGGGAATTGTTGCCAACACAGAATGTATGTCTTCATCTACATCCATCTCGGCCGCTTTGTTTACTGTTGTGCTGTACTCAGACAGGTGTTTGAGTTTGATGTCATGGCTCTTTGGTGATTGGCTGGCGTGTAGTCTACAACTTCCGGGGTTATTGCATTATTGCATTCCTATTTCTGACCTACTCGCTGGAGAGAAATGAAATTGAGTGGAGGCACTAGGTGGCGCTAGCCTGGCTAGGAGAAACCTGGAGCACTTGGAGAAAACCTACACTGACAGGAGAACATGCAAACTCAAAACAAAGACTGAACACAGAATCAAACCCAGCTGCTTTGTTGCTAAACAAATACCTTGGAATTACCTTCTTACAGTGAGCAGGCTTGCCTCTCCACAGATCTGACCTGCTTGTCTCCAAAGAGATAGAAAAGTTTAAGGCCATACTGTGCAAAGCAATAATATTTCCACGGAAACAAGCAGGTGACAGACCCTTCAACAGAAAAGTGACATAGTGCACCTGTAAACTGTTTCATATAGTCACATTTGTGCAGTACTCTTTAAGTAACCTGTAAATTTAAATGACATAATATTGTACTAATGTGTAAGTACAAGATTTACTCAAAATTGAGAAAGCTATTCAGAATAAAACAGTTCATTCAGATTCTAAACACAAAACAGGCTTGCCTTGAAGTGTAAAATAATGAATCTTCAAACATTCATTAAACATAATATTAATAAATTATTTAGAATTTGATGAAAAAATATCACATTGAGGTCAAGAACAAGCAAATTCTTCCATGTCTTTTGAAGATTGTCTAAACCCCATGCTGAAAGCGGGAGAGGGAGACCTGCTTCCTAACCTACCCCACGACCCCATTATTTTAGCGATAGCATCAAGTCAACACAAGTGGAGCTTAGGTCTGACTCCTGGTGCGAAGAAATCACTCTATAAGACTTAGTCAATTTGTAAAGTCGCAGTTCTCATGAGAAGGGCTAGAGGCTTCCATTTCTCTCCTGCGCATACCCTTGACTTTTGTTTTATTTTTTAACTACAAAACTTGACTGTCATGGGGATTCTGAGGAGCTTTGGGGGCCATGTTAACAAAAAGGAAACAGGTTTTTTGTAAGCGCATTGCTCGGGGTGACTCTCCAGATTAAAGGGCATAGTTTTTTCATTCATGTTATATTCATGGTCTGTGACTTTACCTGGGCCGAGATAATAAAGGGAAACTAGCGCAGCATATTGTTTCATTGATTTAATATTTGTTCATGACTCATTTATAAGGCGGTCCTCATTAATTAATTAATGTATAGCTGGAGGAGTTTTATGCAAATTAAAACTGAATTTGAGGTGTAGTGAGGAATACTGCACCAGTTGGGAAGTGTGTATTTTGGTGCTCATCTAAATTAGTTATACATTTTTGTTAGTGAATATTTTACATTTTTGTCTGCTCCGTAATGTGTAATTTTAATGATAAGTACAAGGGCAGCTTTAGTGAGCAGACATGCATGCATTTTATATGCTTTTTTTATTTTTATTTTTTTTAAATTCAAGAACACACGCTGGCAGCAATTAAATCACTGAATGTGAACTTGTACTTTGGACTTACACTTATAGTACTTACTTATTTTGGACTTGGTAATGTGAAGTGAGTCAGATGGCAGTACTGGTCGTAGTAGAAGTAATAGTGGTGGTAGTAGTTGTAGTAGTAGTACTACTAGTAGTATAGTGATTCTACTCCTAATTTTACTGTTTATTTTGTAACATGTTTTTACTGCATGGACTTTGACAAAACTGAGTAGTAGAAGTAGTAGTAGTAATAGTGGTAGTAGTAATATTAGTTGTAGTAGTAATAGTAGTAGAAGTAGTAGTAGCAGTAGTGGTGGTAGTAGTAGGAGTAATAGTAGTAGTAGTGGTGGTAGTAGTAGTTGTAGTAGTAAGAATAGTTAGTAGTAGTAATAGTAGTAGTAGTAGTAGTAGTAGTAATAGTAGTAGTAGTAATAATAGTAGCAGTAGTAGTAGTAGTAGTAGTAGTAGTAGTAGTAGTAGTAGCAGTAGTAGTAGTAGTAGTAGTAGTAGCAGTAGCAGTAGTAGTATCAGCAGTAGTAGTAGTAGTAGCAGTAGTAGTAGTAGCAGTAGTAGTAGAAGTAGTAGTAGTAGCAGTAGTAGTAGTAGTAGCGGTAGTAGTAGTAGTAGTAGTAGTAGTAGTAGTAGTAGCAGTAGTAGTATCAGCAGTAGTAGTAGTAGTAGCAGTAGTAGTAGTAGCAGTAGTAGTAGTAGTAGTAGTAGTAGTAGTAGTAGTAGTAGTAGTAGTAGTAGTAGTAGCAGTAGTAGTAGTAGCAGTAGTAGTAGCAGTAGTAGTAGAATGAGTAGTTAGTAGTAGCAGTAGAAGTAAGGGTAGTTAGTAGTAGCAGTAGTAGTACCAGCAGTAGTAGTAGCAGTAACAAGAGTAGTTCGTAGTAGGAGTAGTAGCAGTAGTAGTAAGAGTAGTTAGTAGAAGCAGTAGTAGTAAGAGTAGTTAGTAGAAGCAGTAGTAGTAAGAGTAGTAAGAGTAGTTAGTAGAAGCAGTAGTAGTAAGAGTAGTAAGAGTAGTTAGTAGAAGCAGTAGTAGTAAGAGTAGTTAGTAGAAGCAGTAGTAGTAAGAGTAGTAAGAGTAGTTAGTAGTAGTAGTAGTATTGTGAGAGGTGGAGAATCTACTCATAATTGGACTATTTATTCTGTGCCATTTTATTACTGCATGCAACTCTGAGAAAACTGAGTTGCAGTAGTAGCAGTAGAAATAGTAAGGGCGGTGGTGGTAGTTGTAGTAGTACCTGCTACTATTTATTCTGTACCATTTGTTACATAACTCACTCTAGATCCTATGCTTTAATAGACCAACAATGTAGTGGAACATTCAGATTTCAGTTCCCTTGGCCTCTGATTAGCTGATGCGTGTTGTATTTTCAACCATCACAGTGAGGGATTAAGGTAATTATTTTAAATCTTTGCAGATAAACTCTGTACCACTATACCATGATGAAGGTGAGGAGCAAAAAAAACCTACTTGGATCAGACAAGATAGCGTCCGTCTTGGGGACAAACTGGTCACAGCGCAGTCCGTGGTATCCTTCTTTACACCTGCGAAGACACAAAAACACCAAAGATTAGAAAAGTACAAGACTAGTGACTCAACTCAGACCCCTCCGATAAGGGAAGTCGAGTACCGCGGGGGATTGTGGGTAAGAGCTTGGCGGAAGGAGATACGCTGAAATTGTGGAGTGGGCGGGGCTAGGGGCTGCAGAGAAGATGGTTTTGGTGGGTCTTAGTGGCGTCTGCAGGCTCACTGATAGCACATGATGGACAGGAATGCCAAGTCCCCCGTGGAAGTAAACATTGGGAAGGAGAAGACTTGGAAAATGGTGAAATACTATCCACACTGCAATAGTTGTTGGAACAAACTCTTGGCACAGTCCGTTTATTTGCAAATATCCCTGCAATGTTGATACCCGTAGATCCCCAAACAACTGTCACAAGCACGTCTCCATAGAAACAATGACATTTGAAGACAGGCTGCAGAATACGATTGAGATATCCAACAATACAGTACACCTCCGCATGGTTGAAGCGTATACCAGTATGTGGAGTCATTTTAGGTCATTGCTATGAATCAAAAAAGCTTCAGATTTGAAAAAAGGGTGGATCCAATAGGGCATTAAAATCAATCAACCAATAAATAAATAAATAATCGCAAAACCTTAAATATGATGGTAATGGAAACATACAGTAACGAAACACACACAAATTAATTCAAAAAAGGAAAAATAAATAAATAAATAAAGAGAGAATGAATAAATAAATACATAAAATTCATACAATTAACAAAGCTCCTAAAGTTTGCAAATTAAATTCATATTAAAATGAACACAGTCCCTAAGAGTCCCCTTAAAATGTATAATTATCGGTTTGCACAGTGAATAAATACCATACTCCCTAAAGCAGGGGTCTCCAACCTTTTTCTTCCTGTGAGCTACTTTCTGTAAAACGAAAATGCCAGAGAGCTTCTAATTTTAGCGGTTGCCAGAAACGGAGGAAATACGGTACAAGAGCCACTGTAAGCCTCAGACGGGGTACATTTAGAGGCCTATAAAACATAAACCATTATCCAGTTATCAGTTCACAAAGTTAGGCATCAAAATTATACATTTACAATAGAAATACGTGGTTAATCAATCACATTTTAGTTATTCATTGCAATAACCTTGGCGAGCGACTTGGGAGGGGGTGGAGCTACAATTTGGAGACCCCTGCCCTAAAGCTAGAGGATATGTTTCTACGTCCGAACACTAAATCCTACCTAAACAAAGACTCCCTTGTGTACTTCAAACTATATTAACGGTAAAAAGAAGGACTAAAATAAAACTCACTTCACTTTAAAGTAAAACAGCGTTCTTTCCATTTTGACTTCTCCAATATTGCAGCTAATACTTTCCTTCTTCTTATTCATAGTTTGAGCATATAGTTAAATGCCTTTGGAAGCACTGTTATTGTTCACAGTTCAAAGGGAATATTGGTGTTTTTATTTCTCTCATTTTCACACAGAGGCCATACTGAGCGTGTAGAGGAGGCTGCTCTTTGAACACTTGGGGAGACTATGGGGGGGATTGGGCTTTGATGATGTCTCAACATAAACTGCAACATGAGTGAATGATATGTGGGAACAGACAGAACCCTTCTCTGTAGACTATGACATATACAGGAAGTAGACCTCAAAGGGGTTTATGCTCGTACAAAGCTGTCAATATGTCCACAGTACATATTATACCACACAGATAAGAAAAAAAACAACAACATATAAAGCAGAATAAACAACAAACGCTTAAAGGTGCACTATGTAACGCTTTGGTAGGGTGTCTATCACTTTCTTGTTTCTATGGATGCAGTCTGACATTAAACAGCTCTAACTTACATTTATTCAATTACAGGTGTTTTTATGGCTCAGAAATACCTACTTCTCCACAGATCTGACCTGTAACTTGGTCTGGTTTGGCCTCCATGAAGACAGAAAGGCTTAATACCACACTGTGAAACATTCCAGATTAGGCAATAACATCTTCACCAGAAAAGTTACACAATGTACCTTTAAGAATACTAAACAAACAAATCCTAACTTCATCGACTATAGGAATCATTATTAAGAAAATAATATCTATTTAAAGTTGTACTGTGTGACTTTCCGGGTAAGAGAGCGATGTTATTTCTTTACCTCCAGTATTCCAAAGTATGGCATTAAACTTTTCATTCTCCATAAAAATAATGTTTGAAATGTAGTTCTGAGCAATAAAAACACCTATAACTGTATAAATCTTATATAAGCTGAATACCATATTGTGGAACATTACAGGCAAAGCAATAACATCTCCATAGTAGAGGACTCCCAACCTGAGAAGTTACACAATGCACCTTTAAAACTGGACCATGTAACTTATCTGATTGTGGTGTTTTTAGCTTAAAATGTTCCAAAGTATTAAAGGGACAGTTTGGAATTTTGGTCATAGGACCTCATTTCCTAGTGAGCCAGAGTGTTGGAGACGTGTGGAGACACTTCTAAAAATATTCCATCCAGTCCTTGTATTTGCAGAGGTCGCTGGTGCTAGGCTAGTGCATGTCAATGGCCATAGTTAGCCTGCCACTAAAAATGTTTTACCCACTCCACAAAACACCCGAAGCAAATCTATTTTTACGCCAGACTGTTGATGTGAATGTCTGTGTTGCTTGAATAATTTCAGAAGTAAAACCAACCTTGCATTTGAAGGATTTATGTCTGAGCAGCAGTGAGTTGTACTTCCTGAGAGAAAGCTTGGAAGCGGCGGACTGATATATGAGAAAATAGTCCCTCAACATGAGACGATTCATGTGATGCAAGGTTAGTTTTATTTCAAACATTATTCTATAAACACAGACATTCACTTCGACAGTCTGGCATAATAATAGATTTGCTTCGGGTGTTTTGTGGAGTGGGTAAGACTGTTTTTAGTGGCAGGCTAACTATGGCCATTGACATGCGCTAGCCTAGCACCAGCGACCTCTGCAAATACAAGGACTGGATGGAATATTTTAAAAAGTGTCTCCACATGTCTCCAACACTCTGATTCACTAGGAAATGAGGTCTTATATCCAAAATCCGAATTGTCCCTTTAACTTTTATATTGTACTTATCAGTTTCAAGTGTGTTTGGTGCTTAGAAAAAAAAATCATACATTCTACTGTGAGCAGGCCTCTACAGATTTGGTTTGCTTGATGAAACTATACTGTCTTGTCTCCTTGGAGATATATATGTTTAATGCCATCTCTTTTTCCATCCTTTCACCCTTCTTTCATCATAGCCTTTTGTTCACATTCTGGACAATCGACAGAATGCAATCCAAAGTATTTTCAACCTCACTTTGTATTGTGCATTCCTCTCAAGCTGCAGGGCATGATTGTGGAAAAGATAATTTTGTTTTATATGGCAGTAAAATCTCCTCTAACTGCACTTTAAAAATATGAAGCTCTCATAACTGTTCATCTGACGAATCACAATCTACCTTTGAATTAAACCCTGCAAATGCCCAAATCTCTGTTATGTCATTTCACACCCAGAGCATTAAGAAAAACATGAAACACAGCAACGCCATTCCTAGTAAACAGAATAACATAAAGGGGCACCAGGTAACGTTAAAAGCATCTTTCACCATGGAGACACCACCGGATCAAATCTGTGGAGAGACGCCCCTGATCACTATAAGAATGTTTGTTTTTCAAAGTGATAAAACAGTTGTAGACCCTTCGAGATGCTATTGCTTTGTCTAAAATATTCCACAGTACGGGATTAAACTTTTCTATCTTCATCTAGATCAAACCAGACCAAGTTACAGGTCAGATCTGTGGAGAAGCGACGCCACTCCCAGTCAGATTGCCTGTTTTTCTTTTAGGCATTTTGAGCTATAAAACAATAAAACTGAATACAGGTAAGGTAGAGCTGTTTAATGCCATAGTGTGGAACATTCCAGACAGAGCAATGACATATCCATAGAAACAAGCAGGTGACGGACCCCCAACCAAAAAAGTTACACAATGCACCATTAAGATCAACTAAAAACTTGAAAAAGAAAATACTGTTAAATACAATTCCATAGCTACTTTTTTAGATATAAGATGAGAACTTTTATTAATCCCACAATGGGGAAATTCCAGTGTTGCAATGCACAGAGAATAGAAGTAGGCACCCTTCTCATTACTTATTAGTGTATTACTGTAAGTGTGGTAAACTGCAAAAAGATTCTTACACAACACAAGCACTAAGTGGAAAATGTCACAAAATTACCATCTCATATTAAGATGTCAGCGTAAGATCAGGCTCCTAATTAGTTTTCATCATGAAATATAACCTTGGAAAATTAAATGATTCTCAAATGAAACCAAAATTGTCGCTTTGAGAATAAAATATCGAACAATTTCTCTGATTCAAAGCCCATTAGACACGTGTGCCTCAAATGGAATATGCAAAAGGGCCATGCTATTGTTTATGACGCGGGAAACCCAGTGCCGCAATGACAAATTCAAATAGATGATATTAATTACAAAACCAGTGGATGGCGTTGTATGGAGGAGTATAGCGAGGCCACAGGGAGCGAGGATTAAAGTAGGACTAATCCCCATAGAAAACACATGGAGGCATCTGACAGGAGATATTAAAATGGCATTAAGTCTTTGACGTGTTATTAACATGCAAATGGAGCAGCCGTGAACAATAGGACCCCCCAAGACACTATGTCATTGTGATCATTACGGGAGTCAACATGTTTGTATGGGCATGCTTGTTTTAGCTGGGGTGGTGCACAGAATAAGTGGAGTGATTAGCAACTGCCAAAGAGAGGTTTTTCATTATCGTTAGCTTTATTGGTGGTATTCATAATGTTCTGTGATTATGGGGAAAAAGAGATTGATATCCTGTTGATATCAAAGTATTTTGCCATGAAACATCTAAAAATGCTGAATCATTTCTTGATCATTTCTATTTCTTATTCTCTTATTGACTAGAGCTAGGACTTGCCGCATTATAAGAAAAATCTGCATTTTAACACTCGCAGTGTAATTTT